TGCCGCTCCGGAGCGCCCGCGAGCCCCCGACTCCCGCACCCAGAGAACGGAAACTGGCCCCGCCCCGAGCCAGACCCGGCCCACGCGCCTCTCACGAGCCAGTGAACCCGGAAACGAGGCTCCCGCCAGGCCCCTCGCGGCCAGCGCCTCAGCCGCCCGCTTTCCCGCCCAAACCAACTGTCTCCGCCCCGCGCGCTTCCCGTGGTCGCACGTGTCTGCTGCCTCTCGACTGTGGGGAAATAAAACCAGCGCGCGGAGCTGGAAACCAAAACCTGATGCCCCCTTCCCAGCCTACGCCGGTCTCCTTGGCCGCCTCACGGGCTCGTCGCACAATAAAATGCCCGTTTCTCGGATTAGAGGGAATGAAAAACAGCAGCGGGAGGGCAGCTACTGGGGCGCTGGGCTCCTCCGTGTTGAGGCGCAGGGCAGGGCACGAAGGTTTGCGCTGGCTTGACGCTCTGCGCCACGTTAATTAAACTAAAGGCTTAATTGCTATTGAATTGCTACCGAGCTGGCTCTGACGGGCGAGAGCCCAGCACCCCCCAAAACACTTCCCGAAGGTTGTGTTCCTGTACTGCAGCCCCCCAGCTCGTGCGCAGGCCAGGCTCTCAAGTGACTGGTGCAGTTCGTCTGGTGTCTGGCTTTGCTGTGCTGGGTCGGGCCCTTGGCCTGTGATGTGCTTCTTGCTCTGCTGTATCTGCAACCATTGCTCAAGCCCGTCTGGGGTCATGACTGGTGCTGTGCCACATGATCAAATCTTGGGTCCATTTAATTGTCTCTCACCCACTGCCTATACTGAAAAGCCTGAGATGTTCCTCTTCTGTGACATCACATTTCCTGTTTCTTGCTCCCATTTCACACACACACTTGGTTTCCTGTTCCCTTTGAAACAACTGACATTGAATAATTTTAAATTTGTAATACTTTTCAATTAAAAGAATAATCTGTCCCTGGTTTTAAGCGAATTATAATAAAACAGTGGTTGAAGGACTGATGAATTAAGATGTATTTTCTTGCATACTTCCTGGAAAATATACATCTCGCTACTCTCTATACAGTTTAGTTCATGTCCCTTTCATGGCTGTGGCTGTTGCAGCTCCACAACTTGGGGCACTGATAACTCTGGTTGCACTAGGAATCCTGTGATTTTGGAACCTACCCCAAAAACTACAGAAATCTCTGAAAAGCTAAGGCTATGTCCACACTGCTTACCTTACAGCAGCAAGGGATAAAGTGTAGCCATTCTTGGTCTGCCAGAGAGAGCTGTCCTGCCAAGATATTGAAAACCATCCCCAATGAAGGGTGGTAGCTTTGTTGGCATGAGAGTATGCCCTGATGACAAAGTGCTATCCACACCAGCACTTTTTGTCAGTAAAACTTTTCTCAGTGTGGAGTCCTGGAGATGCATGAGAGGAGGCTGTGGGGCCACGTGACTCCCCCTCCCCCCGACATGCTGTGGGCGGAAGGAGAAAGGGGCCACTCTTCACAACTCTCTATCACTTCCCTGCTGGCCACTCCTCACATCTCTCCATCACCTCCCTGCTGGCCACTCCTTATCCCTCTCCATTGCCTCCCTGCTGCCCACTCTTCACACCTCTCCATCACCACTCCTCTGGCTACTCCTTATGCCTCTCCATCGCCTTCCTGCTGGTCACTCTTCATGCCTCTCCATCACCTCCCTGCTGGCCACTCCTCATGCCTCTCCATTGCTGCTCCATTGACCGCTCCTCATGTTTCTCCATCATCTCTTTGCTGGCCACTCCTCACACCTCTCCATCGCCTCCCTGCTGGCCACTATTCATGCCTCTCCATCGCTGCTCTTCTGGCCGCTCCTCATGCCTTGCCATTGCCACCCTGCTGACTTCATTGTGCTGCCATCGCTCTGCTGTCTGCTCCTCATGTCACCAACCTCTGCTGGCTACATATCTCCACCATGGACCTGTTGGCTCTCAGTCACCAACTGCTTGCTGTTTCCACTGGTTTGCGGTGGATTTGGATCTGGGCCAAACCTCATGATTTCAGCTCTCAGTGAGATCAGCTCTCAACCCAAAATACAGTCCAGCCACAAGAGATTTCAGCATCCTCTAGAGTAAATTTAAATAATAATAAAGACTCCTTATGGAGCCTTTCTTTAGCTCTATCATTGAAACAGTGGGGAGAAACAGATTGAGCCAGTCTTACAGTATGGCGGGCCTGTAACCTGCTGACTCAGAGTCCTGCCCTCCTCAGCTTAAGCTCACAGGGTTTATTGATTATGACAGTGTCTCTCTCCTTTGTGCCAGGTTAAGCACAGACTTTTTTCTTTTGTATTCCCACAATAATTACAGACATTGCAATTAGTATTAACACAATTTATGACCCAACACCAGTCAGGCTGATTACAATGAGCAAAACACTATTCAGTTACAAGGAGCAAAACACCATTGAAACAGCCGAATATTTAACACATTGAAGCAAAGCAGGGGTAAACAATATTTACATAGATACACCCAGAGTTTCTCTCCCATTCCAGCTGTCTGTAATGGAAGCTTTCATTCATACCCTCTTACACATCTATGAAATGGGTAACATTTCTAAGTAGAAATTGGAGACTATATAATAATCATCTTAATAGTGATGATGATGGTAATGAAAATGATTCTCTCCCCACCATGAATTGTTCTCTTACAGCCTTGAAAATGTGGACCAACTATGGGAACCATTATGGTGCCTGAGTGCTAGAGGGAAAAAAGATATTTGATTAATATTGCCAGTGTTTGTTGAGTGATTCATTAACTGGACATCACTCTACCAGCCGGTTGAGTGCAAAAGAAATTTTTTTTATAAATTGTTATATGCAAAATAAAATATTGGCCAAGTCAACCAGCTTTAGTAAACAGAAAATGATGCTTCTGGGAACCATTATGGTGCCTGAGTGCTAGAGGGAAAAAAGATATTTGATTAATATTGCCAGTGTTTGTTGAGTGATTCATTAACTGGACATCACTCTACCAGCCGGTTGAGTGCAAAAGAAATTTTTTTTATAAATTGTTATATGCAAAATAAAATATTGGCCAAGTCAACCAGCTTTAGTAAACAGAAAATGATGCTTCA